TGTTCTTTTGCGAAAAATCCATATCTCGGAAAGAGTCGCTCACACGGGATGAAAGTTCCGCGAATTCCCAGGTGTTTGCGAGTTAGGTCGGCAAGCTACAGGTGTCTTCTTCCGTTATGACTCTGACGTATCGGTGGATCATCGATCTTCATTTCGCCGCTTTATTAATATAAGATCGAACGAAATTAATGTCATTGATTTCGTCCTGCGGCTCTGCTCTGCAGGTTCGTAGCTATCCATGCGGATGAGGAAAGTGATAATTGCCTCGTATGGACTTCTTGTTGGAGGCCGTGATGGACTCGATGGTAGATTGTCAGATTCGAAATGCAAACGTGAAAGTCATGAGCCTGTGAGTGGTTTTAAAGTTTTTCCGTTTTTCTTTAAAGGAAAGGTACGTCAAGCGTTTAAAACCTGACGTGCTGGGAACCGAGAGTGAACCGAAAGTTGCAAAGAATGATGGAGGGGTCTTTTAGCGGCGAGACTCGATTATCGCCACAATCAAATTGAGGTCGCTTGCGCGCAAGATGCGAGAGATTGATCGTATTCCCAGAAACTGGAATGTTTCTTCCTTTCAAGGTAGCTACTTTTTCATATTTCGAATGGGTATTGCATTCGTCGCGAGAATACATTCTAAACGCATTCCGCATTACAGACTCTCCACGAGCGTGAAGTATGAGTTTTCAGTTCTTTTCCATCCACAAAAATTTGCCGTGGTTTCATCATACTCGGGGGTTGACTGAATTCGAGTGCTGATTTCCATCATTTCGCCTCAAGGAAATTTTCCAGGAAGAGAAAGCATCGGGGAGAATTGCAGTCCTCAGATTATCCACTAACTCCTTCCCTCATCTCATGGGTTTTTGTCAAGGCCGACAGTCAATCCTTACATTGTCCTATGCCGTTATTGTTAATGGCGCGGTTTGTGTGCCCTGTTTCCCCTCTTCCACAACAATAGAGGAGTAAAAAAAAAATATTATTTCCAAAATTTAAATTTCGCGATGTGCACACATATCGCTGATAAGACACACATCGAACGACATCGAACGATATCGCGATTCGCGATAATCGGCACAGCCCTAATTATATTAGAAGATAGTGTGCGATTTTCTTCAACCAATCCCATCGGCAAAATGGTATCAGAGTTGACTGATGCAGCGGTGGAAAATTGTTGGGTTGCAGGACATTTATACCTCGCCTTGAGCTTTGCACCGGGAAGTTTTCAATACTTAGCATGCTCCAAGTCCTAACATGATCTTCCACTCCGGATGACTTTTCGACGACAGACTCAGCTAAATTCAAAATTGTAGTCCAGTCGCAGTTCGGTAGCAGTTCAGTTCCAGTTCCAAGAACTTCTTTGTGATAGAAGTCAACGAGAGCACAGTGTAACTTCAGTCAGAACAAAGTCCGAACTGAAACTAGAACCTAACGGCAACTGAACTGCCATTTTGAAATCTTGCCTCCCTGTCACAGTTCACGATGAAGCGAAGAGGAACATACATAAGGATACGAGTTATGAGCTAGGCGACTCCAGACACCTAGCATTTTTCTCCGCTGCATCAAAGTCACTTGGGCGCTTGGATTGATCTGAAAAAAGACGGTTAAAGATCTCGCCAGAGGAAACTTACTTGTATTTTAAATCGTAACGTATAGGAGAAAAAGAAATACTGTACGAGTACATCTGCGACTTTTGGATCACTCTGTACTGTAGTTTACGGAGTCTTGTATCCACCGCTACATCCAACAAACCTGTCTCATTTGATACTCTTTATGTTATGTTTGACTCTCCCTTGCAGGGCAACAACGCATTCCATTTTCCGCGTTGCATCCGCATATATCCGCATATAATTTGAAAAACCGATAGTAGAACTGATTAAGTGTTCCACTCGGATACAGGAAGGCCCAGGTAGCGTTGAAGAACTGTATTAATAAATTGCCAGCGCCGTAAAGGAATCACACTGTTTATTCTACCTCACTAGAAACTTGCTAATTACCTGATACATTGGATTAAACGAGATCTTGGGGATCAAGACAGTTATTTCATGACTCTTAATTGCATGTTATGCATCATAACTGGTGATGAAGTGATAAATGGAGGATGCAAGGTCATACAGGAATGAGTTCCATTCCTTGCGGGTAAGGTGTACACAGAAAGGGGTCATACATTGTCACAGGCAAATTAGAGCAAGTTGCTTCAGCTCTTCATACCTCCTCGTTCCTAATCTGTTGAAAATCGTGAGTTGGGTTACCCTGAATACCAGGTGGCCCAAAAGTTCCCAAATTCAGAGGGAAAACGATAGATGATTTCCTAAAGATGCCTTCCATGGATTTTCATTCGTAATAGTGTAAAGTCAGAAACATCTGGGTCGTAATCGTGTAAAGTCAGAAACACCTGTGCGTAGATGGTTTCCCGAAAATATAGTTGGAATTTGTCATTCGAGACGTTGTTGTTCCATGGGGACGGGATGAGAATATATAGTAGTGCGAATGGGAGACCCAGCCCGGAAAGGATTACATAACAGAGAGGATGAAAGAAATAAGAATGATTTAATGCTGGAAGTAAATCTCAGTCAGAATCGCTTTACGAGATGTATGGATTAATTGTGCCAAACAGATCGATCAACCATCTCAAATCAGGTGGAGTAGCTTGAAGCGGAGCCCGGGAAGGTCTCTATTTACGGCACGTGTGGGATTTTTTATATATTTCCCATCCATCCAGTCCAGCCTGATTACTTATAATTTTCCCATCGACGCGATATTAAAGAACTGAGAACTGAGAACCTCACACGCAAATGCACAAAAGACTTGCCCCTCCATCTTTAGAGCCCAGCAATAGACGATTAAAGTCAATTGCCACCGTTTTTTCCTTTAAATATCGACTAAGAAAACTATTTCTGTACCGTTAGATTCATGGGCAATATGCCAAAATTTTATAAGAAAACATTCTCAGCTCTCTCCACTTTTGATTAATGCCAAAAACATTTTCAAGTAAGTGTACGAGCAAAGAATACCATGCAATTTTCTCCGAGCTATGCGCGCTCGTCAAAAATTCCCCCCGAGAAGCAAACCGGTTGAGGGTTAATGCTCAGAATACTAAAATGAGAAAGGGCACGGATCTGAACCAAGAAATTGCATGTAACCAGAAAATTTGAAATTACACATGTTTCTCGGGGAAATCAGGCAAGCCAGTAACCCATATGAGGAGGAACCAGGAAAACGGCCTATGCCGATATTCAAGCGAAATAATCCAGATATTACTCCAGAGTGCAGAGGACAGCTTAATGATGAAACAATCTCTTGATAAGAACATTTCTGTACTTTTGGGTCACTCTGCAATGTATTAGGTTGTTTCACATGAAATGTCCGATTTTGAAGATGAGATTTAAAGGCTATATTTTTAACAAATAAAATTTCATTTAATCAAAATATGCTCCATTAGCTTGAATTGTCTTCTCTCAACGGGATACTAAGGAAAATATTCCATTTCTATAAAATTCTAAATTTTTTGAATAAAGAAACTCCTCAAATGCTCCAATGATCCAATCCAATGCTCCGGAATGTTTTATTCCGGAGAAACAGCTCCAAGTGACGGAAAAGGTGATAATCCGTTGGTGAAAGGTCAGGTGAGTATGGTGGATGCTGCAAAATTTCATAGCCCAAATCTGTTAATTTTCCCACGGTGGTTCGTGACGTGTGGGGTCGAGCATTGTCGTGCAGCAGAATCGGTCCTTGTCTGTTTATCAATATTGGCTGTTCGGTGGCCAATTTTTGATGCATAATTTCAATTTGCTGACAATATGATTCTGCTGTAATTGATTGTCCCGGTTGCAAAAAAGAATAGTGTGTGATTCCCTTTGCAGACCACCATACTGTCACCATGACCTTTTTTGGGTGCAATGGCGGTTTTGGTGCATGTCTTGGAGCTTCACCAGCATTCAACCATTGTCCACTTCTTTTCCGGTTATTGTACAGGATCCATTTCTCGTCGCAGGTAATGATTCGCTCCAAGAATGGCTCTTTGTTGTTCCTGACCATCAGCGATGAACACACCTCCAGGCGTCGCAGTTTCTGGCTGTCCGTCAATTCGCGCGGCACCCATTTGTCCAATTGTTTCACCTTTCCTATTGCAGCCAGGTGTCGAGAAACAGTTGCAACAGAAACACCTAGGTCTATTGCAAGAGCCCGAACTGTCGTTTGTGGGTTAGCTTCCACAATGGCTCTTAAATGTTCTTCATTCACAACAGATTCGGGCCTTCCTCGGGGCTCATTTTCGAGATTCATGTCTCCAGATCGAAATTTTTCGAACCACCGCCGAATAGTCCGCTGGTTAGCAGTCCCTTTCCCGAACGCCAAGTCGATGTTACTCGCGGCTACAGCTGCGTTGTGCCCCGATTTGAACTCATACAAAAAAATAGTCTCAATTCTTTTGAAGACATCATATTGTACAGGCAGTCCTCGACATATGACGGTAATACAGGGGAGGCCTCAGGCCCACATGTCAATGACTCCTTCAGCCCTAGACTTAGAGCGTCCTAAGTCAAAGTGTCGTAAGTCGGAGCGTCGTAAGTCGAGGACTGCCTGTATAGAGAAAAATCGGACATTTCATGTGAAACAACCTAATAGTTTACGGAGTCTTCCGTTATCGATATAAGGCTGGATTGACACAATGATTCAACTAGTATGCCATTCTTACGTCCTTGAAGTATGCACTTGCAAGGTGCTGAGGTGCTGGAAGGTTGATTACTGAGGAGAACTCTTCAAGGGGGTTTCTAAGTCAAATATGGATATAAATAAGCTAGACGCGACATGAAGAATCAAGTGCTGGAGTGAATAGGCCATTAGACGAAATTGGGAGTGTCATATCAACTTTCTAATAATTGACGTCTAATCGTCCTTCCGTTATAATTTAGAATTTAATTTCATAATCTCAAAATAATTAATTATCTGCCAGGTTAAGTAGTTTTATGTTGGTATCACTGCTACTTTTCAATGAATTGCACATCAAAATGTGGTCAATGGTTTTGGGCCTCTCCAATTAAGGAATTTCATCGCATAATCGGGCCCATGATGGCGATGAATGCGCTATCAAAATACGTTTACGGATCGGAAAGATAAATTTCTCCCCTAAATGAATTATGTGCATAGTCTTGCGGGACACTCGGATCATAGAGGCACGGGCTGGAGAAGAGAAAGGTAAAAACCCTCACGTAGCTGTGAGGGAACAAACCGATGATTCCTCAGGTGGGAAGGAACAGATCGAAGGAAAAAAAGAAAGAAAAAATAAGAGGGCGAGCTGAGGAGGAAAATCGTATTTCAGATAAGATCCCCCTTGGCTCCGAAGGAGGCAGACTAATCAACTTTAGGAGAATAGCTCATTCCATGAGGACCACATTCCCTATAATTCATTATTGGACGAACCTAATCTGCTTCCTGAATTCTTTTTCCCCTGCCAAGGGATTGCCTGATCACGACTGCTGTGAATTCCCTGACCAGCCTGTTCTCGGGCTTGGTTATCTTCACCTACCTGGGATACATGTCCGCTCGACAAGGGATCCATATCAGCCGAGTAGCAACAGAAGGTGAGATGGAGATGGATCACTTCTTTCAAAATAATTATCAAATAATAGTGAGTAACTTATTTTAGTTACTGGAAGCTTGCATGTTTTCTTCCTTTTCATGGTGCTTAAAATAATAATAATAATAATGACATAATGTACTCTTGTCACAAAAAGTAAGCAGGTTCTCACCCTCGCTGGAAGAGGTTTCATTTTCCTAATGGATATACGGATCAATCCAGTATAACAGGAATTCCTGGAAGCAATAGGATACTGATCTCCAATTTCTCATCACGTCATAGTCACTCCCTGGGGGAGGATTGTCGCTTATACTTGTCCAAGACGCGCATCGTTTCTCATAATTCTTGCAAAGCTACTTTGAATACGCATTTTCTTCCGCTCTCATAAGTGCATAACGTAATTTATAGACATGTCGGAAGGTAATTTCCATCTGATATGAAAGCGAAAGATAACCATACGCTAATTCTCTCCTGGAGTGGATGCATTTTCTAAATTCCTCTCTTAGGCGATTTGAATGGATGAATTTGATCAAATCGTAAAACATGTATTTCTCTGAGAGGTGACTTCGGATGCTCTTGATTGGAATAAGAATGAAGAATGTTTATGTGAACAGGTCCAGGTTTGGTGTTCCAAGTGTACCCAGAGGCCATCGCGACACTGCCAGGTTCTCAATTGTGGTCCGTCCTCTTTTTCATCATGCTCATTATGTTGGGCCTGGATTCCGCGGTGAGGAAACATGATAACTTCATTCGCTATCACGAATTTTATCTTTATTAAGGCGCCTGTATCTTCATTATCAGCGTCTGAATAGGATAAGGCGGATTCGAGGGTCCGGAATTGAAGTTTCTCGTGAGCGTGATTCCCACATTGTATTTATAATTGGTGAATTCCAGATGAGCTTGCCGGGCACAGGTTAAGACACTGGAAAGCCTTGAATGCATTTAGTTCTCCCTCCTTCCTGCTTCTTGGATGAAAGAGAGACCGACAAGGAAACAAATAGGTCCAGAATAGAGGAAGGTACAGGGCTTGGCCTATTGGATTGTGCGACATTGGATCACGACATTGTGTAGGTCTAAGGACTGCATAGAGAAGAACGAGAGGGCCAAGAAGAAAAGCTACATCTTCACATGAAAGAAGAACCTATTCCCCTGGTCTATTATATAGAATTCATTGTCTACTTTTGGTCTCAGCAAGGCAATCTCATCACAGCATTGACTTCAGTCACAATGGATGTCGAAAAACTAGGGAAAAGAAAAAAGAAAGTCACGGAATGGAACAAATGAGCCGGTCAGCCGATTCACTGGAAACAAATGGGTTTCAATAAGGAATCGTTCTTCATATATCGGATCCTCCGCCAGATAAAGGAATGTTGCACGTGCCATGAATGTAGAACGAACCCATGAACCGCCCACATCCAATGAAGGTCTTCCCTTCCCCGTCAGGCGAGATGGAGAGATCGACGTTTCATAAATGTGGATGGAGGTTTAATGCTGATATAGAGCTAGATTCACGAGTTCACGTTCTTCCCTCTTTCCATGAAAAAAAAACCATATCCGTGCTAAAATGGTCGAGAGTCCCAGGTTATAGATATAGACGAAGATGTCATTTTTCAGATGGGCGGTATGGAATGCGTCATCACCGGGATCATGGACGAGTTCCGTTCATTCTTTCGGAAATGGCGCTATAGTCGAGAGATCTTCACCTTTCTCGCCACTCTCCTGTCTTTCTGCATCTCCATCACCAACATCACCGACGTAAAATCTCCCAACTCCCAAAACAGATCAGGGGTCGGGAACCTATGGCTCATGAGCCAAATTTGGCTCACGAGCCGAAAAGTTTGGCTCATTGAGTCATGGCTGAAAATCGTGGTCATTCCTTATTTTTCTCACGTATCAAAGAATCCATGTGTCTATTGCGAAATTAGGGCCAATTATGTTGTCTTGAAAATCTCTCGCTCATAAGCACTTAGACCAATCATAATATGGCTCACATGGTCAAAAAGGTTCCCGAGCCCTGCTTTAGATGATAGATGTCCCTCGATTTTTCTTTAAGGGTGGCATGTACGTCTTCCACTGGTTCGACACTTACGCAGCTGGCGTTTCTCTCCTTTGTTCGGCTCTGTTCGAAGCCATCGCCGTATCTTGGTTCTATGGTGAGTCATATGCACCCGTTCCAGGATAAATAGCCTCACATTCATCACAGAGGAGCAGTGGTTTGTATTGAATGCATTATCTTTCTCCTTTTACCTTCTTTCCTTAGGTCTCGAGAGATTTTGCCGAGATATCAAGGAAATGATACACTTCAAGCCTCACATATATTGGAGAATATGCTGGAAAATCTGCAGCCCTCTTTTCATTCTCGTGAGTCATCCGATATTCCGAGCCTCGTTGAATGCTCTACAGCTCCACACGCCATGAGACTAATATTGATGCTCGAGATGATCAAGTGTTGTTGTCCAATCTTCTCGGGGTCTCTCGAGATTCAGCCCCCTCATCTGATGCTGGAGGGAGGTTAATTTTTGTCACATTCAAGGAATAAATCAATGAGCTGCATTGAAGAGGAGGACCATGATATATGCGTCTGGATCAGAATACAAACTCTTAATCACTTTTTCAATCAAGTTTTCGAGAAAAAAATCCTCTCATTTCGAAAGAGACGACATCTCGGGACGGTTCAGATGAAAAGAAAGAAAAAAGAAGACCTCTGACGCAGACAGACATGACTACATAAGTGAATATAGAACCTGACTTCATTAATGAAGGAGGGCGTCGGGAGATTGGAGGCATGAGATTTCCCGCTGGGATGCACTCCGAGATCCTCAACGATACGATTATTCGCGAGAGGATCGATGGAATTCTCTTTACTGAACTCCGCCAGACCATGCAAATAATTTACGCTGTAGTGCAACAGCTCTGCAATATTTTCCAAAGTCGAATTTCTCTCTACTTCCAAAATTAACCCACACGCATTATATTGTACATCCTGAAGAACAGCTTAATGTCTGTTTAGGGATATCCCAACTGTAGAAACGGTGATATCGTTTACGTGAATCATGCACCTGAATCAATCTCGTTCGAATTGTCAGCTTGAAACAAAGAAATATTTTTTGTGACTAGGGAAAAGAAGCATACATGGATGGCTGGCGGATTATTGCAACTGGCTCTTATTCGCCGTCCCATGTTGAAACGTATGAGATGAGTTCTCAGACGAATTTATTCCACGTTCCACGAAGTTAGAGGCTTGTGTTTGTAAAAGCTAACAATCTGTCTTGCCAGATGAATATTCCTATTTTGTGCTCAGGGTACTGCGATGACACAAATTCGTTTCCTGAAAGCATGCTTATTTTTTTCAGTCGATCGTGGTATTTGGGATATTTTTTTCCGAGCCCCCGAAGTACCAAGATTACGTCTATCCGACATGGGCTGTGAATCTGGGCTGGGCTTTTGCTTCTTCGGCCATCTGTATGGTTCCCGTCATGGCTGTCTTCATTTTCATCAAAGAACCCGGTCCCATGTGGCAAGTGAGTCTCTCTCCCCCTCCCTCCTTATTTTCCCCTACTGCTTCCTTTCTAACTTGGGCAAGAATATCAGTTCACACATTTCTGACGATATGAATAGTGCTTGGAACATTCTAAGCTACCGGAGAGGCGTAGATTGTCCGGACAGGAACTCGGTCGTGACTCGAAGAAAGAAGGAAACCGCTTGGAAATCTATTGAGGGAACTAATGAACTCATTACTCCACTGAGACGAGGGGAAGGGGGGGGGGGGGCCATGGGGGTCTCCAAAAGCAGTCTGAAGCGGAAGGAGGGATATGAATGGGCAATCTTCCAAGTCGAGATTCCATTTTACATTTTCCTTCACTTCATGCACGCGAATGCATCCGATACAGGTGACAACGAATGAATCGCACGAGATCCGAAACCCTGGTCGGATCTCGAACTGCTCCTGACAAAGTAGTCATTCGGGGCAGGAATATAAAAAAAAAATCGAGGATTTTGTAGGTTGCCAGGACTTGCGAGAGTTAGTCATGAACTCGGAGGTGTGATTGAGGAAGCGAGAAGAGAGGGGACGCGCTGAGCAAAGAGAATAAGCGAGAATGGAATCCGATGAGGACTAGCTAGCCCTGGCTCTCCATGCTCACTAGGAGCGAAAGAAGAAATTCGCGCTAAGCAATCTGCTCACACGAGCTCTCGTGACCTCGATCTTGATGGGTCGGATCTATTTCGGAATTCCCATTCCCATCGACAAAAATTCCAGGACTAAATTGTAACAGTGCTCTAAAACTTATAGCGAGTGCTAACCCGACACTTGATATCATTCACATGAAGTCGCATTTAAAAAAACTATGTTAAGAACTTACATGAACATGAGAATGAAAGAACTCTGATTGGGTAACTTGCATCATAGTCAACTGAGAGCCGTAGTATGCATAAATAAATTATAAGAGAACCATGCTTGAATGAATCAAGTCACAGCATAAAACAATTAACACAAATCCGCGAAGAGAAATTTCATCTAATCATTGGCTGCTGACGCGAGTCTTGGCAATGCAGTGAATGAAGGAACGACAAACAGTCTCTTGTCATGTGGGAAGTTTGAATATAGCTTCCATATAATGCGGAAAGCTTGAATAGATATGGTCCTAGAAGGTCATGGAGTTGCATGAATCCCTAGGAAGGCTGAGGGCAATGACAATCGTTCGAATATGGATAATGAAAGAAAATCGAGCATCAGTTTTGGTGAAGCTTCGAAAGTGTTCATATGTCAAACACCTACTCCAGCTTGATGGATGAAAGAGGAGAGAGGAATGTGATACCTTTCCCTCTCGTGCGCGACGAAGCGTGGGTCGATGGCACTCATCGGACTATCACCGTCCTATGTTTCACTTGCCACTCTATCAAAGGCGGAGGCATAGGAAAGTGAGAACGAACAAGATACGAGAGTAGCGGAGAGTGACGATGATTTATGATACCTCTTGAATAATGCAACACATCTTTTACTTTCTTATCTGATTGGAAAGAAAGTTCTCGGAATTTCATGAACAATTATTACAACCCAGTTTATTTAAAAGCAAAATCATCTCAATCATGAATGTAATCACCATTGGCCTCTATCACTTCACGCCAACGTTTATGCAAACTATGGATGCCATTCCAATAGAACTCTGGCGGCTGCGCTACG